ACTGGTTGGAAAACGCTGTCTTGAACAATTTATGGAATTAAAGAATTTAAACTGATGAAGGGTAACTGGTCCTTAATACTAACTTGTATAGGCTAAAACATTCACAGGAACGACGAGTGTCCAGTTTCAGTGCTATCTCAATTTTATTGCCTTGGCATTAACCTGGGGATTTCTAACTTGAATTTTACCAGAAACACTGGCACTGTATTTTAAGGAGAAGTCCTAAAGGCACAAAAGGAAATGGAACAGGTACAATCAAGCCTCTCTGAAAATTCTTTCTCAAAACACACCTTTTGCCTAACGTCAGAACTAGGAACAACTTTCATGCAGCTGGCTTTCTCACCAGCCAGGTGGGAGTTTAATGGTTCTAAGAATCCTGTCAGGGGATGTCAGGGAAGGCAACTGTCCCTGCTGTACGTATCACCTTGTATGGTGTCGCTGTCAAGGCAGGAACAGAAACACAGTTACAGCCTTGTGGAGACCTGTACTGCCAATGCTTTAACTCGCACCATTCACGAAGGAAGAGTTTTCAGTATGGCAGTGTGACCAGAACAGTGTGCTATCAAATACCGAAAAGTCAAATTATTTCTTGTTTGCAAGCCCTGTGAATTGCTGCCACAGCTCCTTCAAGTCAGCCCACCTGGGTTTTTTTGTTGTTCTTATGTTCTTACCCAGGGTTGTACAGAGAAAAGGGGATTTCTGCTCATGTGCAGGAGGAGGAATAGTGCTTTTTCCTCATTTCACATTCAGCAGCTTGGTACAGTCTTGCAGTTCTGCTCTTACAGTAGTGCTAAGCAGCCAGATCGTCACTCATCAGAGACAGCAACAGCAGCGCGCAGTACGTCACGGCCAAGGTGAAGGCCGAGCAACTTCAGCGCTGCTTTCGGACGTCCCTGTTCTCCAGAATCCACAGAGGCACAGATTTGTCTTCACTAATGCTTTTCTCCCACTGAAGTCGTGTACTATGATGAAGTAACTCCGCCTTATTCTCTGTCTCCTAATTCTGAAGAGATAAAAACTTTTTTCCCTAGCATGGCCTTTTTGGTGCTTTTTTTTCCCCTCTTCTTCCTAACTAGAACAGTAAGCCATGTAATAGTCTGAGGATCATAGCTCCACTCTCCCCTTCTCTTTCCTTGCACAGTTTTAAGTAACAACAAGTGAATCCTCACTAGTGACCAGAGACAGAGAAAAAAGATTGAAAATCCTGAAATCATAACTCCCACATCTGCTACTCATTGCACAGGCACGATCACGCTTACTGGGTTCAAAACTGCTATTTAGTCATCTGTGCTAGTTCACACTTGTCGGTTGTTTGGGGTTTTTTTTATGTAACTGCCAGAACCCGTCATGGTGAATTCCCCCCACCCCGCCCCCCTTGCTAAATGTGCCACTCCTTCGGTGGAAAAAACACGCCGTCCCTACCCGAAAGCTGCAGCTAACACCTGTTGGAAGTGGTTTGACCAACTTTTACCTGTGCATGTACACAGCGGTACACCTAGACAATGTTCACTGCTTCCTTCTATAGGCTGCCCTTAACCAGAATCCACTACGTTTATCGTTGGTCCCAATAATCTGTAAACTAGCCGTAAAGCTAAGGTGAGGCGGGACGATAGGTTTGGCAACGTAGGGAAGCCAATGGAAGGGTGTCTACTTCAACGTTCAACACCACCATTCGCCAGCAGCTGAATTTATGGAGCCTGTTCTGCTGCATCTCTGCAGCAGGCGGCTTCATACTAGAACACGCTGCGTGCTTCCTCAAGACCTCTTCACTGCATGGAGTACTTCTAAGTAAGTTTGACAGACAGAAGGGTATTTTTTATTATTCCTTACTACACTACCCTTTAGGTCAACAGCAGGCATGTGGTATGCATCTGTACCAATCTTAAAACGGTACTGCTTCCACTCTGCCTTCCTGCCTGGGAAATCTCCGTTCTGTCCCCATCGAAGGGGGAAGGAGACGTGCCAGGTGCCTGGGGGAAGGCCTCATGCTGCTGGCTTGCCAGCGACCTGCCGCACAAACCCCAGCGGCGCTCAGTTAAGCAGCACTTGGTAGTAACACACTGGCCGCTGTGGGAAAGAGAAGTATCAAGATACAGGCATTTAGAAAGAAAGGTTAATGATTACATATTGGAGCCTGTATTTACAAAGCAGAATCCACTTACATGATTACTGGAAGTTAAAACTTGGCATGGATGGCCATTCTCGTTCGCAGCAATATAGCTGGGGTTTCGAATTCTCCTCCCACACAAAGGTAGAAACAAGCAAGCAGTTACAAAACTAAACGCTGAAACTGCTTGCACAGCTTTTCCTGTGCATCAGGGGTGTCCATTTGTGTAATGAAATGGAAGCTGTACCAAAACTGGCCACGGCAGCTCCCGGTGGGAAGCTGTCCTCGGCAGATGGTCACAATGTTTGGCCCCCCCAGAGCCCGAGTTCCGGCAGTCCGGGGCGTTTCACCACAGGCTGCTGTGCTGGGGAGAGATGAGCCCGGCCGTGCAGCGGGATCGGCGGTCATCAGCATGTCTCATTCAGCTTCCAAACACAGGTAGTTACCGCACACTGGAATTGGCCTACTTCTACATATGGGTAGCCACACGATGTACTTTATTGCCTTAGGAAACTAAAGCACCTCCACTTTCACCCTTAAAAGCGTTTCTGTAAAGATGCTAACGCAAAATAAATGGGAATTTTCACCTGGGCGCTTCCCAATTTTGACTATTCCTTTCTATCAAGCCCCCTTTTAACCAAGAAAGAGGTACTGCATATCCTGCAAGTGTGCCAAATCCACCTTGTTTTCACACGAGTGTCGATGAGCCGATGCACGTCTGTCTGTCACAACTGTTTTGGGAGATAACGGGTCAGCCGTGCCACCACTTCAAAGGGTTGAGATGGAGGCAGAGGTGCAGCTCCTGATTGCAGCCAAGAGTCACTTAAGTCATGCTCTATCCATTCAGCTGCTTGGGCTCCCACTGCCTGAAGTTACTGCCCATTTACAAACCAGAAGTAACTGAAATTCACAGAATCTCACCAGGCGCAGGAACGGTCATCTCGCCTTCCAAGATGCTGGAGTATCCCCAAGCTGTGCCTCTTGAAAGACACAAATATACTTCTGAGAGCTGAGAACTGACCAGGCAGTCAAACTTCTTCAGTCCCCCAAGGAAAGAGGCTGATTCTTTTTGCAGAAAGGAAACAACTCACAGTTAATGCACAAAATTTAAAGCCGAGTTAGCTTTGACAGTAGCATGCCTTCTTCCAGAGTCACGTTTATTACAGCTTACAATATTGCACAGCCCGGGGGGGGAGGGGGGTATTGCAATAATGCTAGCAGCAGAAAGTGACACTGTACACATCGAGTTTTGCTTTTGGGGCTTCACATCAACGGTGAAATCAGAGGGGCCTCTCCTCTTCCTCAACACAAGAAACGGCGTTCTGCAGCACCATCTTGCCTGCGAGGCAAAAGCTTTCATCAGGGAGAGAATCTCCAAGACCATTTGGAAGTCCAAAATCAATAAAGACTCGCCCTGCTTAATCACTAGGTGTTTTAAAAAAAGCCCACCACAGATTCAGGTTAATGCTTTTTAGCTCCAACAGACTCAACCACAGTTTTTAATACTCCAGCCTTTTCGCTTCCCCCGGGTAAGTACAGACACACAAGCCTTCACATGTCAGCAGGCAGGACCCTTAAATTTTCAGTTAAATAAAACATCTCCAAGTTCCATACCATTATATCCAGTTTATTATAACAAGGGATTTATAAGAACTAATTGCTGATTGTCTTCCTTCAAAAAAAACCAAAAATAAAAAAAGGAAAAGACATAAATACCCAACAGACAGGCAAAGCATTATTAAAAAACTTACCTTCTCATTTTTTATCATGAAGTAATAAACCTACTCAGAATTTTTGATCACTGAAACACTAATAGCATTTAACAAGTAGCCAAAACCCAAACATCCAGTTGGTCTCATCGAAATTAAACGACGAATGGGCAGCTGGGTGCAAGGCTGGGTTTCACTCAGAGGACTCATTCAGAAAGACACATTAAATCATGACCAGACCCAGCTGTCCTGACAGCTCCGGGGAAGTACAGCATCTCTTAAAAATTTGAGTTATCATAATCTTTTTGTCCCATTTGTCATTTAAGGTGAATCACTCAATACGATACAGGACCAGAACACACAAACAGCAGCTTCTAATACGAGTTCTTCTCTGTTTTGTGGTTAAGCACGGGATGCACCCAACTCACACACCCTGATCGTGTCCAGCTTTGCTTTGCCTTGTTGGAAGTATGCGACTGGCCCTCGCAAAATTTCTTAACCTGCAAGGGACAGCAGTTTTGAAATATACCTGACCATACCTTTTCACTGGAAAGAAGGTAAATTGATTGGGTGGAAGATAGCATACTGAGGCAGAATTAGTTTAATGAAAGAATAAATTCACATTTTGGCTGCTCCCTTCTCCCTACTGCTGAAGAAAGGAAAAAATAAACCAAACCACACACACACACAAAGCCTACTGATTGCCGCCTCAGAATTCAGCATAAGGAACAGTCAAACAAATAAACAATATCCTCAGAAATTATGCCACCTGTCTATGTGACCTCAGTTCCCAGGCTGAGGAGGACTGGGAAGCCTGTACAGTACCAGCTGAAAGAGGAGGAGGTTGGAGGAAGATGAAGAGCAGCAGCTTATACGGCAAATACAGAAGCTGCGACCAGGGCTGTATTGCGGGGACCTCTGAAGCAGGGGTGACAGTAGGGCAGGGCGGTCCAGCCCACCCAGCTCATCAGCTGCTGACGGTTGCAATGGGCAGGAAACTCCCTCCTCTGAGGGGCAAGAGAACGACCACCTCCTGCCTGGTTACAAGTCCTTGGTTAGCTACTCTGTTTTCAAAATACAACAGCTGGCTGACTTACAAGCT